TGAAAAATCATGAAACTGTATCAAAAAATTAATTTAAGGAAAGTGGTATATTCCCAAGAATGCAGCAGGTTCATGCCTACAGCTCATGTTCATTCCAGCACAGTGCATGCATACCTGCAGCTTTTGTGGGCCCCACCCTAGTGACATGCTGAACTAATAGAGTATAAGTAGGTAAGTGTTGCACCCTTAAGCTAGATATGCATTAGCAGCTTGACAAAGTTCACAGCTGTCACAGCAGAATAGACTCAAACCATGCCTAATATAATTCGTTTTTTAAAAAGTGGTTTGATCGCAGGTACGTTTTTCAACTAAGCACGCCTTTTCGCCAGTAAAATGGGCAAAAAGTTCACCTGAGAAAATTGAGTGCCACCCAAGTCCTAATTTTAAGTTGAATTATTCCCTATAAATTCCATATGTGCATTTTTAAACTAGACATTACAACGCGTGTCAATCACTACGTTTCCATGACATCTAAATCGATTTAGAGAAATTTCACATGCGTTTTTCTCAGATACCATTCACCTTATGTAAAAACGACCATATATATGGCTTTAGCTAGCACCTAATCCTAAATTTTTATTTTTTAATGCTGCCTAAATACTATGATGGAGCAAATCCATTATGAAAAATCTGCTTAACTTTGTCATGGAAATGTAGCCAATGTCATGCTGTGAAACTTCTGTTGCAATGTAATGCATAACTACTGTTGACAGAACTGCTTACTCAATGCTGATCCCAGTTACCAGTAGCAGTGAAAAAATGAATTTTTCCCAAATATCATTAATGCTTTGACCTTTATGTTATCCCTATTATTCCGACATTGGGTGCCAGCTGCCATGGTTGACGTCATCATGGTATGCACATTTAAGAAGACAGTTTGCATGCATTTACCAAGCACAATTTGTAATCGAATATTTTAGCGGTAAGAAATTCTAGGGCCTAGGCTATACGCTGAATCTGCTAAAACTCACGTGATAGCTTTGATAATGAACTCAGTCAAATCAAACCAATTTGAATCCAAATCAATTGACCGAACCTTCGCAATATATTCAATGTGAAAACCAACTGCTCAAAATTATTAGCATCAATAATCATGAAACTTCCTGCCAGTGCCCGATAAAATGAAAATTTCGGAAAAACAATGTTGGATATATTTGGCTGCTACATCTAACCGCCCATCACAATCAATCCGCAGAAAACAAAATGTCTGACCATCACAAAAACAAGAAAACTATTAGAAGAATTTAGCAACAGACAAAAGAATATTTCTTAATGTAAATGAACAATCTTACTCACCGGAAACATATATTTATAATATATTAATAACAATCCAATTCAAACGCCGTATATCAGTCAACGCTAAAACAAATGGCGCTCCTCAAACGCCGCATATTCTTTCAAGTTACAGAAACAATCTGGCATAAGAAATCTGGCATAAAAAATGTCACTAGTCTTGAGACTTTTGCTCAAGATCCGTGTAATGATCTACAAATTTGAGAGAAAGTGCTCTCAAAATCCGACAAAAGCTTGGCTTTTTCTTTTTCCTAAGCAGCGTCAACCCTTATCCTCAGTAAAAAAAACAATAGGCTCAATTGGTTTTCTACGTGCACCGGCCGAGGAGGGTTGGTGCCCCCTCACCGTTTCGCCCCTAGGTAATTGAGCTCCCAGCCAGCAAATTGGTTTGGCTCCAAGTCCGTTTTGCCCCGACAACCGACATGCTAGATTTGGGCCGGTGTAAGCGGAACGCCGTCGAAACAAGGGATTTGGGTCGATATGGCTCTATTCCGGCTCGCTAGTCTTTGCCGTACAACGTTCCGGAGTTGGTATGGTTTCGGACCGCTAAGTCCGACTCAAGTCCGGCTCTTTGCCTATGACGAGCTACAGCCAGCTCCGACCAGGTTCGACTGCCTCGTATAGCTGCGCTGGCTTGCTGTGGCTGAAGTACGATTTGGGTAGGTACGGGCACGGCACGGCTCGGATACGGCATATAAGTCCGGCGGCGGCTGTGGTGCGGGCGAGCTCTGGGATCGTGTGTCAGCTCCGGTAGAGCCATAGGCGGCGGAACGGGGAGGGCACCGGGGCACCGTGCCCCCCTTTGATTTTGACATTTTAACATTAATTAGCCCTAAGGGCGTTGCATGGAAAGAATGGGACCAAAGTCGGCGGCAGTGCCCCCCCCCCTTAACCCGCGCGGGGCTGGGGGGGTAAATTTTACCCCCCCCCTCGCGAATTTTTGCGATATCTCAAAAACGGCGGCGCGCAGCGCCGCCAAACTTTCAGTACCTTTTCTTACATCAATTTGACACGTTCCCTGAAAATTTGAGCGAAATCCATCGGAAAATTTTTGAGAAATTAACGTTTTAGTGACGTCATGTTCGCCATTTTCGCCTCAAAAACGGCAAAAGTTCAAACGCCGCTAACATCTTCATTTTTAAAGTAATCAAGACGTAACAAAAAAGGTTATGCGTAATTTTACTTTGTCTATCAAATTGCTATCTCGGTTTTTTGAAAATTTTGGATTTTGGCCTAATATTTTTCAAAAAACTGACTTTTTTGGGAAAATCATTATAAAATCCAAAATTTTGAGTTTATCGAAAAAACCGGAATATATGTCACAGAAGTGGTCTATGTGCACCTACATACCAAATTTTAGAAGAATCGGTTCAAAAATGTGGGAGTTATTCAAAATTTTATGACGTCACGGCACACAATTTTTTTGAAAAATGACTTTTTTGGAAGTTCTAGACCTCGTACGGAAACAAAAATAGCACCATTCGATTCGCCGTGAAAAACTGCGTCAGATAGACACCTTTTTAGGCCTTAACAACCAACTTCAAAATTTGACCTCACTTGACCTGACCTTAACCTGACCTCGACCTGAAATTCATCCAGAGGTGGTCTATATCACTTATTGAGTGTGCCTATTGAATTCTATGAGTAAAATGACCCATAAAACATGTGTCGCACATGCCCTTTTCTATATTTTGCTTTTTGGTGACCTGACCTGACCTGACCTGACCTTGACCTTGACCTCTGAATGATATTGTATGCAACGAATATTGTCTTGGTAGCCTAAGAACACGTTTTGGGCGATCAGTCTCAGTCCATGACTCCATTCTTCGGCAACTACGGTGCAAGGCCGATACTGTAGAAACTTGCAATTTGTACCCTTGACCTGACCTTGACCTTGACCTCAAACTTTAAATTAAGTACATGTTTTTAGTAGTTCGTGATAAGAGCTTTCGATTGGCGTTTGAATTTTCCAAATCGGACCATTAGTTCGGGAGATAACAGGGGGGTAAAATTTACCCCCCCCCCAGCCCCGCGCGTTCGGCTGGAGACCCCAGCCCCGCGCGGGTTAATTGAAGGTGTTCCGCCGCTTCTGGGTAGGTAGAGCTTCATACCTTGCCCGTGCTTCGGCCGGAGTACCTAAGTGCCGGAGCTAGCCAGAGTAAAACCAGATAAGGACCAGACCAATTTTGCTGGCAGAGCTAGAGCCTCGCGGAAAAAAACGAGCTTGTGCGCGATTACGAGACGCAGCGATTGGCACCCGATTTTAAGATCTCAGGTCAAGCAGTGATGTCTGAGGTCAGCTCAAGTGCCCCAAGGCACGGGTTCAGTTTTTGTACCTATATAAATAGCCTCGCCAAAAATGCTCGCAGAGCTACGAATTTAGCACATTTCGTGTTTATCCTCCTCAGGCACGTCGAATGGTAAACTTTTTTGTCTTGGTTAGGTCACCTCAATTAACCTATAATTGGTTAGTTGACCTTAATCAAGGTCATGTCAAAACCACTCGGGTCATGAAGTTGGTCGAAGGAGGCCATATCGCATGTCATTCGATTCGGCAGGTCTTCCCGTGTCCATTATTTGCTTTTCCGACTCGCTGGCTCAATTTGATCGGGTTGGGAGTTATTGGCGAAAAAACCCTGTGACCTTAGTGACGCCATAAATGACGTCACGCAAGGTCAATGATGCAAAAGTGAAGCATTCATGGACCTTGCAAGTAGCGCATAAAATCACTGTTCCATGTGCCTGACCTAGGTAGGGATCATTGCCGGCGTAAATGACAGAGTTCATATTTCCCAATTGACTTTTTTAATTTATTCCGAACCTTTTGAGTATAGAAGGATTCACCAGGAAAGAGCCCCCGCTAAGCGAAGCTTGTTGCGTTGACTCTGCCCTCTACCCTCCGGTCGCGCAATTCCAGCACATCACAACCAATCCCAGCCGTTGCGTGTTGCAACGAATATCTTGGATCGCCCGATACTGAAGGTGTGCTGCAACAAAGAGTGCAGGTGATTGCAAATCCTACCCTTAAGATAGGTAAGTACGTATAGAATAAAGAAATGTTAGAAATGAAATGCTCATGCCAATTCTCTTCGTCGCCGATTCCGGTTCAGCGTCCGTTTCTTCCAACATCCCATTCGTCTTCCCCTGATTCGCTCTCGGTTATTCCTCTCGGCACCTTACCACATCGGTCACTGCTCAACCATGGGCTGCATCGAGACGGAATGGACGTCGGGCAATGGCAATAAATAGCGGGCGATGGCGATAAATAGCGGGCGATGGCGATAAATAGTCGGAGTCATTTTAGTGACTTCGCCTTTAGATCACTAGTGTTCTGAAATAGCAGTAGCTATGTCGATGCTGTACCAACATCTCCAACGTTCCTGTGCAATTGCACCTGTACTATGTAAATATTTAGTTTTGACGTCCTATGAAGGTAAATAGGGCTAAACAAAATAAAAAATGCCTAAACAAGATAAGGTGTAGTGTGAAAAAGTGTGTTAACGTTGCGTGAAAATAAGCAGGGTTTGGTGTGAAGGGGCATGTCGTAATTTCAGTTAGGTATCCTAGCTTGGTGCAACGATATTAGCTTCTATGTGACTTAAAGCCACATTTCCTCATTGCCGCTGCTAAAATGTGCATTGATTCTTATTTGATTTGTCTTCTCTTAGGTAGACATATCACGCCGCTCATTTTCAAAGGCCGTGATCATTCGCTGCAGAAAATGTATTTGTGCCAAACCGGCACACATTCGTCCTCATCTGGCCCACTGGCCCAATCACATCGAAAGCACTCCTCGCCCCAGCCTTCGTCGCTTTGAGCCATGTTTTCCATGAGCAGAGTCAGAGGTTTCATAGTCATTAGCTAACTATGTATTCTTACAGTAGTCTATGGCAGAGTCTATATCACATCATAATTCCCATATCACGTCTACCGTCTATCACAGGACATTCGACTTGACCATCAATCAATAAAAAATAAAGCTAACGTAAGCACATAAGATATTCTATTTTTTATCCGTACCTACCTAGGCTAGGTAACAAACCATCGACATAGATTACAGAACATGCGCAAAGTCAGAACATGTTCATAGAATTACTCCACCAAACAGCGTTGCTCTTACTTCTAAAAGAAAACTAGATATGAGGTGTGGGAAACTTCAGGTCATAAAACACACACATTTTGCCAACTAATATCGGATAACCATCGCCTCGTATCACCAACGTTCGCCTGAGAATACCTGGATATTTATCATAAGAGTCGTACGGCCGCCTCAGCAGTACATCAGGAGGGTCGACATCTCGCAGCCCCTGAAGCAGCACTGCTCGACAATGCCGTCACCCCGCTTGTACCGCGAATCGGCGGAGAACAGCCGCCTCTCCTGAGAGTGCGGTGTGAACAGGCCCTTCAGCAGGCGCTGCCGCAGTGATATCACGTCTGAGGTGGAGATGACGTCATCGGAGGGCAGTTCCAGCCAGCTGCTCATCTGGGTCACACCTGAGAACAGAAATGATGCAGGTTGTGAGTCGTGCCAGAAACTAAGTTATTTAGTTAGCTGATACCTACTTCGCTAATAGTGACAAACAACGGCGAGGTGTTTGGAGTTTTTTTTAAGGGTAAGGCTGTTTCGATGTTAAAAACTATTTCGGGCCAAGAGTTGATAATGAGCTCGGAAGATGGACAACATTTGGCTGATGCGACCACCGGTTGATGGGCGCAGCGACACCCATTCATATCCCACCACCTCTAAAACCTTCTGATCGTTTTTACTTTTAACCTTTTGTCCTCTTCCGCATCCTTCTTCCTTCCATTAATTCTCGGCTCAACCTTTTCAATGAAAACGATAACTCATTCACCATTCCCACTTCTAATCTCCTCTTTACCCCTCTTACCCATCTTACTCCCTCAACCATCTCACCGTTTCTCACCCTCTTACCGGAACCGCTGCGCCGCCGCCGCCTCTGGTAACAAACGGAGACGAGGGCGTTCACCAGCTCCCCGCCGCAGAGGTGCAGGGCGCGCTTCTCGACCAATCCGGACCCGAGCAGCTCGACCTCCGAGTGGCCAGCGGTCGCAGAGGTCAACTGAAGGTCACTGAAGGTCACCGCGGCCGCCAGTAGCAGCGCGGCAAACAGGGTCAAGGACGACATCTGAAATGGAGTACAGAAGGTGATTATTAAATGATTAACTTGTTCTGTCATGATTGATTGTGATCGTCGTAGTTTTATCGACAAACGTTGAAACCCAGTTAAATACTTAATAATTATATTTTACCGGCGCTGTGATGTAACGACACACCAGCACACCATTACTTCACGACATATTTTGATCAACTCTTCAGACAACCATTGACTGCAGACATTTTCAACTAAACGAAATCCCTAAGCTATATCAAACTAAGAGCATTAAAACTTGCATAGAGGCAATTATCACTTTCTTGTATTTGACGACCAATTACAAATATCAATAGCTTACCACTCCCTGTGAATGGACGGTGGTCACAGGCCGATAGCTGAGAGCAGAAGACGACTACCTGGACACCTCTGCCGCCTTTTATGGAGCTGAGAGCTGAGAGCTGAGCTGCCACGGACCGGCAGCGCAGGCGTCCCACGGGCGACTCGGAATGGCCCACTCCCCTCCTCTCCCCTCCCTCCCCTCCGCTCTTCCTCCCCTCCTCCCATCTCATGATCGTCGGATACGGCATGAGGTACTGGTCGATAGTCAAATACGGAGAGTTGTAGCCTGTAGTTATCTTAAATATTGGAGAAAATAAGTTAAAGTGTCCATCCCACCTTTACATTAGTTTTGAGTTGAGACAGCCAAACTGGGGTCCCTGGCTTACATTTACCGATTTGGGCACTCACAACATCGAAAATTGCTTGATTCGGAGTTATTTAATTTTAAACTTGCAGTTCTCAGATTATAAGGGGTTAATGCATTTGAATGCCCCCTTAGAATTTGTGACGTCAGCGGAGGTCTAACGATTTTTAAATCTTATACCAAAATCCATTTTTAAAACGTGGTGGTGTACCTACTGTTTTGCATGCAACGTCTGCCGCACTTTGAGGATGTCAAACTATTGCTTCCAAATGACGTCTTAGGGGTCCCAAAAAGTAAGCAAAAGTAAACGTCTAATATCTTGAGGACCAGTGAATATTTTTCGGTGAAATTTGGTAGCGATTCATTTTTTATCTTTCTGAACCACGGGACATCGCTTTTATGCCAATTCATTGTCTTTTTTGAAGGTGGGAGGGCCCCTTTAAATGAAATGTGTATCACCTGTACCGTAGCTCAGATGCTAGAGCGTTGGACTCCCGGTAGTGAGAGCTCGGGTTCGAGTCGCTCCGGCGCTCGATATTTGAGACTCCTGACGGATGATCTGCGGTTGGTGGGAGCAGCCGCAGCCAGTTGAAGTCAGTTGAGTGGGGCACACCTGTCCGGCTTTGAAGGGCACGTTAAACTTTGGCATATAAATTCTCCCGTTACCCGGAATTGCGCGATCGGACGGTAGGGGTTGGGGTCCACACATCAACAAGCTCTGCTTAGCATGGGCTCCGGCTCTGTCAATCGCTCCGTTTAAGCGTTTGAGCTTATTTTATCATAAAAAATAATATGGTTACCGCCCGGATAAATCGTTTGTTGAACAGACGAATGACGGCTGCAAATATTTTTACGCAAAGCGTTTCTGGTGGGACTGGGTCTGTCAACTCATACGAATATTTTTGCGTTATATCTATTGAAAGACATGCTTCGCCATCGCTCGTAATTTTTGTTCAGCCATACTGATGCCTGAGTGCTCTGATGGATAAAAAGGGGTATCAAGACCATATAAATGCGCTTCCTAGGCATACAAATGTTTTGGGAGTTTGCTACTTTGTTCGAACAAGAAAAACATTATGGATTTGTGTTTAAAGAGTGTGATTGCTTTGAACATTCTTCACGGTCTTAAAAAAAAAAAACATTTTTTAGTGTAGAAATGTGAAGTTCGTGAAAAGTTGGGGTGAAATTTCGGGCATCAGCCATTATCAAACAACATCGAAAAGGTCTTTCTGGACGCATAATTTGTCCTTTGTAGTCTATTTTTTCCAGAAATGGGGTCAATGATTTTTTTTTTAAAGTTCCTAAGCAGTTGAGTGTTTATGTGATACCTAAGCTTACTTTGCGGTACACTTACACAGAAACGAATAAGGATAAGAAATTGTGTGTAGTGTCGATGATCCTTTTTCCAAGTCTATTAATGTCAAATGACATATTTTATCAATCATTTTCTAGATATGCCCAATGTTCTGTGGATATTTTTATTTTACTATTTTCAACCCGATAGTGTTAAGCTCTTAGGCCTATAGCCCGAATTCGTTTGAGAGCCGCACTGGACGTTGTAGTTAAAACAATAATTTGTGGGTATAGCCCATTAAAAACAATAAAAAAAAACATCAAAAGGATGCATCACAAGCAATAATTGTCACAACAGCCTGTCATTTGCATCGCCCTATTTCAGCTTAGGCCTCCGCGCAATTAAGTCTTCATCAGACGATCATGAATAAATGTTTACCAACCGACACTTCGCTTGCAAAACCTTGTTCAATCTCCCATAACACGACAAGATAATGACATCCTCATTAAAATAGTGTCATTCTGATGCAGGTGTCAAACCATCGACGCCACCTTGTCGACTGGTTATATTTGTCCGTAATTTGGTGTCACCGGTTCGACCCTGTCTTAGGAATGAGGATGTACCCCGCCGGTAAAAGACGGCCCCATTACCTGAGCGGCTCGAAAACCAAATGGCCTGTCACTGCTTCCGACATCAACAGTTAGTGGGCGAGACATGGCGGCGACCGAAAAAAGGACCGCTGGGCTGGATGTTTTCCAGTAAGCAATGCCCTCTTATTTGCAGAATCGCAGATTAGATGTTCCGGTACGGTGTGAGCAGTTGTTAGCTCCGCTGGTACCCATTCAGAGGCATAGGATTAGGATTATGTTTGCGGCTGATAGAAAGCACATAATTCATTGCGGCTGCTTTGTCAGACTGTGGTTAGACTTGGTCCGTATATGAAAGCAGTCGCTCAACGGGCCAGGGATCCAGCTGCTTAGCTGGGTGTGATCAAGATTCTTATAGATAAGGTTGGGACGCCAGTCACGTGACATTTTCTTTCAATTGGCACCCCATGCGAAACTTTTCCCAACCCCGTGTAGCGCTCGGACGAAAAGGAATAACCTTGGTGCCGGCGCCGTTGGCGCCGTAGAGACATTTAGGATAGATGGCAATTGGCATTGCATTTAGGCAATATTTATGTGGCATTTAGGCAATATTTATGTGGCATTAGGGTATGTTGATGTGGCTCCAGATCAAGTAAAATTAACTAATACTTTGGGGGAAAATCGTGTAAAAAGCCTACAATAGGTAAGACGCCCCATGCTGATGTATTGTATTTTGTATTGTATTGTACACTGATACTGATACTGATACTGATGCTGACGTCCTTATTTATAACACAATTGTGTCCTTGCTTTTATTAACAAAAATGCTGGCGCAAGTTTGAATAGCGCAATTCAAATTATCATTCGGATGATTTAGTAGCCAAACACGTTTTTTGCCATTTCTTCAACAAATATCTGTCATAAAAATGACACTGATTCACTGCTCAGTTGTCTTTTGGATCTGAGTAGCATCAGTAAACAAGACTAGTTTATTGTTCTCCAAAAGCTGAAGCAGTTCAAAATGACTTTGATGCTTACCGATCTATTAGATGATACAAGCATTATAAAATTCACTAAATGCCCTGGCACCGAGTTTCTCAGATGTCCATACTATTTCATATGTAAAAAATGGCTCACGTTGTAGACGTGGCTTTATTGTGATGCATTGCTGCTGATTGGGAGTAAGTAAGTACGTACCTTATACCTTGTACTATTGGTCTCAAGATAAGGGCCCAGTCGACCTGCAGTTTTGATTAGGTGAATACCCTTGCCCTCGCCACATCTCGGGCTGAGTGTACCCCTCCTTCCACTCAGCGGCCCAGCGCCACCCCCACTCGAGTTGTGGCAAGGGCGAGGGTATTCACCACATCCATACTTAAGGTCGCCTGGGCCCTTATCTTGAGACCAATAGTACCTCGTAGGATACGAGTTGCGAGGTCTTCTTCACCTGTCTTGCTTGCTCTTTGATTGAATTTCTGTATCTTCTAGATCATCTGTGATACTGCTGATGCAATCAAATCCTAGTAATGTTGCTCAACAAGATAATGAATGTAGGGATGTATGCACTCTGTTTGCTGTTTTGGTACAAATGCCTCTCTGGTCAATGAAAGCAGGGGTTTTCTTTGCAGTTTGTTAATTTATTGTGCAAGGCAATTTTACTTCCAAATACCAAAGCTTTTTAAAAATGGTACTCAATTCAACGCTATTTTCCGAGGGCCATGTTACTGAATACTGACTAACCTAAATACTTGACTAGTAAGGCTCAAAACAATATTTAATGCATTATCTATGCAAACCAGACTCCACCAAGTTACAACCAAAGTGGGGCATCTTACCATACCCGTAATGTAAAATGTCCAACATCAGTTGAAAGTGTACTTAGATATGTCAGGATGACAACTTGTGGTGTTAAGTTCAATAAGGTTCAGTCAGTCTCCATCTACAACGTACTACTTCCGAAAAAAAACAAAAAGCGAGTACCTGTGCCATTTATTGATTACTGGGCTGCAGATGTACAGTGCGCAGACGAACATTGAAAACGGCGAGCCGTCGAGCGTGGGGAACGAAGCCAGTGGCCACGTATTATGCTAAGTACTTTCCAACTACACCACTCAAGTTATTTGGTTAGGTCATAATGATAAAATGCAATTCATATCAGAGCAAACTCCAGGCGTAGTTTATATAGCTGTTAAGCATAACTCGTTTTTTTTATTTGACACCCTTTAATAGTACAGCATGTGGTTTGGCACGTTCACACCACAAAGTCATCAACAAAGCAAACCAGACTTGGCATACTGGAGAACAAATTAGGCTCAACGAGGATTCGCCTCGTGACCGATTACAGAAATAATCATTGAAAGAAACCTGGCTATCAAAGCGATATCGTGTGGAAACGTTGGAGTCGGCCCGCCCGGAATCTCGGCTCCCCGCCGAGGACGCAGGGCGACTCCCGGCAGCTCTTGTACCAACGCCAAGCGAGGTCGGAGCCAGTCGCGAAGTGGGCGCGCCGTCGGACAAGATGAGGGCCCGCGCGCACCGTTTGGACGACGGCCGATAACCTGCCACAGGGGGGAGGGGGGGAGGGGTCGTACATGTTTGTTAGTGAGTGGTGAAGAAAAGAGCAGAAATGAATAACGTGTACTCTTAACAATTGATCACAAATGTAGTCACTATGATGAGCCAAAACAAAACAACAAGCATTGCATTAATGGCAGTTGGCACCACTACATAATACTTAGTAAGTTAGTAGCAACATAATGAGTATTGTGATACATCTGAGATCTGATGAAATGATTGAAGTCATGAATTTCCATTTCAGAC